TTCCTGGTCCGGGTCTCTGGCCCTGCTGGCGCTGCCAGTTGCCCTTGTTCGGGGTAAGATTGACCCTTGATGCGGAGCACTTGCTCCTGGCCTGGTTTCTAATTTGATGCATTCTGGTTCGTATAGCTCTTCTGGGAGTTTTTGCTGCTGTTTTGTTGTCTGTTTTGACCCTGCTCCTCAAGCCTTTTTCGGAGGTCATTGTTTGATCTGCAGTATTTCTCGAACTCGTCATACAACTGTTGTATGGAAGTTGGTTTCTTTCTTGCTAGGTGTGCGGCGAACGGCCCGATTCGGAGGCCTTTGATCGCTGCTTCAATGGCGATCTCGTCTGGGATGTCTGGTGCCTTCGCCTTTAGCTGCACGAATTTCTAGAAGTAGTCATGTAGTGTCTCTCCCTACATTTGCTTGCACTGGAACAGATCTGTGGATGTCAGCGACTGTGCTGTTAGCCCCTTGAAATTTGCCAATATCTTGTCCCAGAGGTTTTCCCAAGAATAGACCGTGCTTGGTTTGAGCATGGAGTACCAAGCTAACGCATCGCCTTTGGCAGCAATAACAAATGCCTTTGCCAAGACGGCGTCGTCTCCGCCGGTGGAGGCTACTGCTGCCTCGTAACTCATAATGAACTGATGGGGTCTGTCTTTCCATTGGACTTTGGCAGTGTGATTGGCTTGTACGCTGTTGGCCATGGCGACTGTTGTATACCTTTAGAGAGTGGGGACTTGGGATCGATAGGCCTTCGCATCACCTGAGATGGCATTGTGGGCGGGCTGATCACTGGCGGAGGCCCTTGTGGTATGGTTGCAGTTGGTGTTGCTGCGGAGGCTGGGATTACGGAGGTTGACGCTGGTAGTGCATGCTACATACTTAGCATCACAGCATGTAGGACTGCCAACTGCTGCCTTATTTCTGCTGCTTGTGCTGACGCTTGAGTAGCTTGCTGATTAGCTACGAATGCTACTGCCATTCTGTCCCTCTCTTGTTGCGCTCTTTGCAACTATGCTTGCAGCTGTTGCAGTTCTTGCTCGAGTGTTGTGCCTGAGTTTGGTTGGGCCTCCGGATCTTGAATCTCTGGATCTCGAGGTTCCGGTGGTTGACCCTAGGTATCTGCTCTGGTGTCATCCTCCGTTGGCGAGGTTGCGTAGGTGCTACGAGTGGTGCGCCTAGGCCTTCCTCTCTGACCCGTTGTCATTGCTGCTCTGGTGGTGGTTTTTCTTTTCTCTGCCATCGTCGGTTTGCCTTGGCCAAACCACGGTGGGCGCCAATGTTGAGACTTGCGGTCTCAGATGGTGAGGAAGTGATAGGGGCCTCCGCCCGATGAGAGCAGTAATCGGGCGAAAGCTTGGAAGGATAGGCACGACAAGTGAGCGTGTAAGGGAGTGACACGCAATGCTGTGGTTTCATTAATACCTTCATCCCCCTGTACTGTTATAAGTGTTCCCTATTTATAGGGCTCAACTACCGCCTTTGCGGTGTTTACAACAGTGCCCCTCAACTGCTACAGTACATTCTGGGAATATTCCTCTACTTGCTCTTCGTCTCTAGGGTAATCTTGCCACGCCGCCATCAGATGCTGGGTCTGCGTGACCAACCGGCCCAGCGGGCCTCAGGATTCGTTGATGGGTCTTTGGCCCTCCGCCGTCGCTCTCCACTTCAGGGACACCGAAAGCCACCGACCTCCGACGCCCGGTTCAGTCGTGCTCCTGCTCGGGCCTCCGCCCATATAAGCGGAGGCCGAACCGGAGCACCAGCGCCGTCCATGAGCGCCTTCCTTTGCTTACCTGCACACACATATTAGACGTTGGCATTTGATTAGCCTATCAGTGGGGCAGCCTTCGCCCTCTTCGCCGGAGGTGCCTGCGCGCCTAACGGGCGGAGGCTGTGCCGAGGTTGCATGCAGCGTCCTGCGAGCTCAGTCTGAGAAAATGTCATCTTTCCAAGGTCAGGGTCTGGAGGCATGGTGGCTGGGCCTTCGCCTAGGTGATCGGTCGGAGACGTCTCTGCGAACTGCTAACCGCGTAGGTCTCCGCTACTCTCGGAGGCCGTGTTACAACAGTTGGCATCAATGTCGCTGTACCGCTGCATCCCCACGAGCACCAGGGGGCATGGCACGGTAGACGAGGGTGATAACCAACATGGACGAGATGAGGCCCAGCGGCACGTCGCGGCCGGGGTTCTTGGCCTCCTCGGTCATGGTGGCCACCTTGTCGAACCCCGTGTAGGACCAGTACACGATGGCTGCGGCGCGGAAGACGCCAGCAGAGCCGAAGGGGAAGAAGACGGCGCGAGGTTGGCGGGCTCGAAGTGCGAGAACCCCGCGGCCAGCACGAACGCGATGATGGCGATGCCGACCACGAATGCTATCGAACTGATGGTGCACGCGCCAGACACGGCGAGCGCGGAGGTGGTGCACAGGACGACGACGGCGATCGGGTCCAGCAGATTGAAGCCGTCGCGGGCACGTGGATGCGGAGCGCGGTACGTAGCTTCCTAGAACATATGTGTACAACCTCCACTGCGGACGCTATTAGAGTATCTCCACTAGATCTACTAATACTTTATTTTAAAATTTATATACTATAGAAAATTGAGAAAACAAGGTTCTAAATTATCAGGGTGCTAATACAACAATTTGAGGAAACCTTGTCCCTTCATTAGTGAAATTCATCTATCAATCAGTTAGAATATCCTTTTCCATCTCTTCTCTCTTTCCTTTTCCCCCACTCTCGGCCGGCCATGGGGGGGGCACGCATGACCGACGCCGCGCCCATGCTCTTTCTCCTCTTCCTCCCTTTCTCGCCCAGGTGTGCGAAGCCCCAGTGTGCCCAGAACTTGTCCATGCAGCGAGGTGGTGTGTCCGGCCCACACCCTTGCGACGCTGCCCTCGTCCGTGCGGTCATGTTTTCGGCTGTGCAGCAAACCTCTGCCAATGGGCGAGCGTCGAGTGTAGATGCGGGGATTCGGCGGTGGTCACAATTTGATGGAAGAAAATGGATTGAGGGGGAGGTTTTAAAAGATTGAGAAAACTATAGCCAAAGGGATTTAGAAGGGATCCGCTAAAGCTTTCTTTTGTACTCAATCCCTTTTCATCACTATTATAAAGAAAATGGATTGAGTTTTCTCAATCCGATGGAGATGCTCAGCATCCTCTCTCAGGTGGTTTGAACCTTTCCAACCACCGTTGTTTCCCCTCTCGGGCAGCTCGGGCTCTTGTCTGGCACACGCAGAGATGCAAGAGGTTTTGCATATACTTACATATAATTTGAATAATTGTTGATTAAAATTGTATAAGTTGACTTCCCTGTTTTTATTATGGTTATCATTATGAAATGGAGAGAGCAGTGCTGGGGTGGAGTATATATGTCTACTGTGTACATCGAATGCTCGTTAAGCTGTCTGTTGGAATAATGGAAGACACCCACGGCTGCTGAAGAAGTAAAACGAAGGACCGGACCTGGTCATCGTCGATCAGTTACTAGCCTTGTATTTAGTAGGCTCCAAGCCACGCGGTTCTTCCAGTCTTTCAGAATTCAGAGACAGCGCGCGGTCCATTTGAACTCAAATTCTAAAGTTTGAAGGCTGTATGAGCGTGAGCGGTTAACCAGGATGCAACGGGGACGGTAAGTGTCGTTGAAGAAGTACCTAAGCGAGCGTGCCAACACATACATGCAATTGTCCCACGCTGCCCGCTGAAATGGTTCAGTTAATCAGTTTGGCTAGGCAGGTACGGAGAAAGTCACAGTGAGTCAGTGACCACTGCGAGCTACGACAAGTGTCGCTTTTTTTTTATTCGTGCCGGTCAAACTATTTATTAAGTTTCACTTAGTTTATACAAAACATTAGCAATATTTATATCTTCAAATAAATTTATTATAAAAATAAATTTAACCATTTATTGAACGGTAATAATGTGCTAAGGATGTCCGTCTGTCTGGACGCCCCCGTTGATGGGCCACGACACCAGTCCAACGGCCTAACTCTCCATTTGCGTATCCGCTCGCCCCGCCCCACCGTTGGATCCACCCCTGCAACGAGACAAGTAGTCAGCTCAGCTGTTTAGGGCGCTTGGCAGGGAGGGTCGTTAGGAGCCTGCCATTTCTTGCAGTTGCTTCCCGGGCCGTTTAGGACCAGCATGACCGCCAGCTCCTCCGTGCCATGCCCCGTCGTCGTCGTCGCCCTGCCGCCGTCAGCCACCGCAACCAGCAGCGGCCTCGCCGTGAGGATGACGTTGCAGAGTTGCATGAGAAGCACGGCCACCATCACCGCCCTGGCCATCATCGCCGCCGCCGTCGGTGCCGTTTATTCCAATCCAGGAACGATATAGCAGATCCTTGTTAATGTAACCCGTAAGCTAGCAGTGCACACTGCACATAGCAACGTAGGTACGGTATTACTGCTAAACATGCTAAGCTATTTGGGAGGCTTGCTTGCTAGCTAGCTGGAGTACTAATGCTCGTTCAACTGACTCACTGTTGGTTTGCTGGGAGGGAAACATGCACGATGGTTGCCTTTTATAGTATCGATCGTGAGACAACATGACCAGGTGGTCACTTGTCAGTAGGTCAAGCCTTGTATACTAGTAGTAATAAAATATTTGTCAGGGTCAAGCCTAATACTACTCCGTATAAACCACGCGGTTTTCACCAGCGGTCAGTCCATTTATTTGAATGAAAATTCCTAAAAGTCAAATCTGAAGTCCGTGCTGCATGCTAACCAGGGCAGCAGACGCAAAAAGTCTAACGCCGTGTTTAAGGCCAAATTTCAAAAAGTTGCTACAAAGATTCATCACATCGAATGTCTAAACTGAGTGCATGCCAACACTTTTACCAAATAAAAGCGTTCCTTCCGTTTTGTTCCTTCCGTTGATGGCCACACGCACGAGTCTGTCAGCATGCACGTACACACATATACTAGCTATACTGTACATACTACTGCCAGTCTGTCGTGTCATCCGATCGGGTCGTATTCAATGGCGAGCCCCTGCCCTACGGAAGCAAGCAATGGAGCCCCTGCTCGGTGGCTTCGGCGACCCGGCGTTTTTGGCGGCGGTGCAGCAGCTGATGGACCTGCCCGACGAGCTGGAGCGACAGCTGAACGCGACGACGCGGGCCTACGTGCGTGACCGCCGGGCCATGGCCAACACGTACGCCCATGGACGTCAAGGAGCTGCCGTCCGGGCCGATTCTCCTAGCCGTCGACATGCCCCGGGTCAGCCTCTCCGACGTTAAGGTAGGACGGCAGACCTATCGGCCAGCGTAGAGCCGATAGGCCTGTCGGCCAGATACGGTTTACTGTTCTGGCCACTTGTCGGCTGTCGGACAGCCGATAGGAATATCGGCCCGATTGGTCCTTAGACTTGTCGGCTTCTGGATTGCCGATATGTACCTATCGCAATATTTCCGTTGAACACACGTAGTAAATATATATATATATATATGTAAGTAGGTCGGCATGCAGCTAGCAAGCCAATGCAAGCAGCAGGCTGAGAATCCAAGAAGCTAGATAGCTAGCCAACCTGTGGAGCCAGGGCAGCGACGGTCATCGACAATTAATCATTGAGAAAATATTATTTAAAAAAAAGTCTTTATTCATGTATATTTGTCCGTTGGGTCAGCTCGAGTATTTTTTATGAGCGACCCACGCTACATTTTGAGTTTTTTATCATTTATTTATATTATATTATTTGTATATTTATTATATTTTTTTATAGTCCCATAGTACGTTTAATTACCAATCTAACCTTATTAAATGTATAGTATAATTATTAAAATTGTTAGCTAAATTATTGAACAAATTTTTAAAATTGTTAGCTAATCGTCGTCCTCGTTTGCAGGGTCCTTCCTAGCGCTATAATATGGTGATGTACGCCCAGCAAAAGCGGCACTCTGTCACCGGCTGAGAAGAGTCGGCTAGTGTCCTGAAAGAGCCAGAAGGCGTGCCACCAAACTACGCCAAGAAATCGGGTTCCACCTAAGGAGTGTCCATGCAGCTCAACTTCTGAGCTAGCTTCCTACAGCTCCGCTTCACCTTCTGTATAAATAGACGTTAAAGTTAGTGTATTTCCCAAACACCTATACACTAAAGAAACATTTTTGGAACGGACAAGTTTATTTTTACCTCCACAAAAGCCTCGAGAATGCCTGGCCCCTGCCCTCTAGACTCGTGAGCGACCCAAACTACATTTTGAGTTTTTTACCATTTATTTATAATATATTATTTGTATATTTGTTATAATTTTTTTGATAGTCGCACAGTACGTTTAATTACCAATCTAACCTTATTAAATGTATAGTATAATTATTAAAATTGTTAGCTCAATTATTGATCAAAAATTTTAAAGTTTAGTAACTCTTGATAGGTGTGCACCTCCTATAAAAGAGAATGGAGGGAGTAGTTCGTTGCCATAATAATTATTAGAGTAAAATCCACCGTGGGTGCTTGAACTTATTCGGTATTTCCAAATAAGTCCATGTATTTATAAGATCAGATTTTTGGGTCATATGTTAAACTTGCCAAATGTATCATCAAGGTCCAAACCGGTTTTAGATCCCTGTTTTTGCACACTTGTCTCCTCAGTTCATTATATAGATCGTGAAATGTAATTTCATAACAAATAAACTTTATTTGAAGATACAAATATCGATATTATTTTCTATATAACTAGTTAAATTTAAAAGAGTTTGACTCCACGAGAAATTTAACATGCAATTATTTGGTATGGAGAGTATATACTAGCATGCTGTCATATGCAACGATTGAGCCCTTTGTGCGCTGACCGATAGATTCATCGACTTCGTTTCACACAAGCCGTTAGCTACTCATTTCTGACGGTCGTTGCTCCTCGCAGCATGACACGGGGATTTCGATTTCTAAGTCGTTGCCCTCAACCACTTAGATCTGTCAACAGTTAGGACGACAGGGAGGGAGGGAGGGAGAGAGTAAGATGGAGAGGCTCTCTACCTCGTCGAGCTCGTCCGCCGTCGTTGTCAGATCTAGAAGAGGTAGCCCTTAATAGTGCTCTCAGTTGTGCCCCTATAGGGCCACCGCCGTTGCATCCTCTGTCGGTCGCACGAGTGATCCACCTCGGCCTCGCCTACTCGCCATCGGGGCAGTGGCTGCCCGCCCGGCCCTGTTCACCACCATCGGTATGTGCCAAGAGGTGGGCGCCAGGTGTGCCAAGAGGTGGGCGCCAGGTGCACCAACCACCAATAGCAGGAGCTGGAGCAGGGAGGCACGTGGTTGCCGAGGGAGGTGCAGCTTGGGTGGAAGAGGATATGTAGACTGTAGAGAGGTGTTTGGCGGTCGAGAGAGAGGTGCGTCCGGGAGAGGGTGGAGTACGAGGCGAGGGAGTCGGGATGGAGGAAAGACAGACCGGACCAGATGGGTGCTTGAACTTATTCGGTATTTCCAAATAAGTCCATGTATTTATAAGATCAGATTTTCGGTCAGATCTTAAACTTGCCAAATGTATCACCAAGGTCCAAACCGGTTTTAGATCCCTGTTTTTGCACACTTGTCTCCTCAGTTCAATCTGCGCAAGGCCCGACCGACCACGCGCACACCTCGTGGCTGTCTTTGCGCGCCATGCTGGCAACCACGAACGGGTCGATGCTACGCACCGCCGCCACCGCCAACAGAAAGTAACAGCAGGCCCAGCCCCTGAGCCCCATCACCATGTTGAATAGTGGCCCACGTAGCACCCGGACACCGCCGTCTGCGCGCTGCCAGAGCCGCTGTGCACCGCCATCGCCGAGCAGAGGGGAGTTTGCATCCGTGGCGGCCACGGTGAGCTCCGCGTGTAGGAGGCCCAAGAGCATGTACGCGCCCACTTCATCCTGGACGCCAAAAAACGCCACCGAGTAGGCTGCGTTGCAATGTTGGCGTCAATGTCGCTGTACCGCTGCATCCCCACGAGCACCATGGGGCATGGCACAGTAGACAAGGGTGATAACCAACATGGACGAGATGAGGCCCAGCGGCACATCGCGGCACCTCGGTCATGGTGGCCACCATGTCGAACCCCATGTAGGACCAGTACACGATGGCCGCAGCGCGGAAGGCGCCAGCAGAGCCGAAGGGGAAGAAGACGGCGCGAGGTTGGCGTGCTCGGTCGCGAGAACCCGTGGCCAAGACGCGAACGCGCGATGATGGCGATGCCGACCACGAATGCTATCGAGTTGATGGTGCGCGCGCTGACACGGGCGGCGCGCGAGGTGGCGCATAGGATGACGACGGCGATCGGGTCCACCGATTGAAGCCGCCACGAGCACGTGGATGCGAGCACGCGACGCGTGCTTTCGTGCAAAGGGCTGATCTTGTGATACCGCGTGCATCGCATGCATCGGCATGTGCAATGTATAGTACGCGCTCGTTTGATGCTTGTGTGTGTGATGACGATGTCGTTGGTGGTCGCCAGGGGCGGCGACTCCGAGAGCTTCCTATCGTGTTTTCGGGCAGCCAGATGGGAACGCGAGGTGCCTTCACGTGATTTCGGCACAACCGCCATGGATGGCGGGCATTTGCCGCTCTTAAGTCACCGACCATTGTTGATCAGCAAACCCAAGATCAAGCGAGGAGCAAGAAATGGAGCTAGAGCGACAGCCGACGACGCGGGACTACGTGCAAGACATGCCCGGCCATGGCAACACGTGACGCCATGGACGCTGGCGGAGCTGCAGTCCGGGCGATCGTCTCCGGCCGTCGACATGCCCGTGGTCAGCCTCACCGACGTCAAGGTCCGGTGGAGGAGGGCAACGTCGCGCTCTTCGATTCGGGCGGACCTATCGGCCGCCGGATAGCCGATAGGCCTATCGGCCCGATATGGTCTCATCGTGTCGTGTCCGCTCCGGAGACTTGTCGGCTTCGGATCGTCGATATGTTCCTGTCGGCGATCCGAAGCCGATAGGTCTCTACTAGTGACCGATAACAATGGTGATGTAATCGGGCTCGGTTCCAAAGAAACATGCACACGATGAGTGGAATCCATATGTAGTGTATGTTGGACCACCATATTGCCAATGGCAACCCAATTGATGTATGGCTTGATTTAGAATGGCTTGAAAGGCATGCGTGGGTTAAGTCATGATACTTAACCTCTAAGTGTTAACAAAAAAATAGAATATGAAAAACATGAACATAGACATAACAATAATTCTGAATATAAACTATGATATCCAATTTTACTTTACCAAATCAAGCGTTGTGGTTGTGTTGGGCAATCGTTCCATTAACAATTGCCATATCAGTAATGCGCTCATTTAAAGCTTGTAATATGATGGATGAGAATGTATTCACAAGCATCCTTAAACAGACTATCACAACATATTTATCTACATATCCAATGGGGTGCGCTCTTCCTCATCTCCAAGATTTGCATAATCTCACCATGATTAACCTACCTAGCACTGAAAAGCCTATTTGACATTGTACTAATTGTCCATTCCATCTAGGGAATCTCTCAACATTTATATGTCATTAACCTCGAAAAAGGAGAGTGTCCCTTAGAGCCATGGGATTGGCTTTATTCGCATTGCAAGTACTAAATACCTATCACTACGTGAAAACGGTTTGTAGCAACGGGACAAATTTTTTTTAGGGGCGGCTGGTGATGGAGCCGCCCCTATAGTGGCGTGCTCAGGAGCCCAGAGACCAGCCGCCCCTACAAATGGAACAGCAGGGGCGGCTGGTGATACGAGCTGCCCCTACAAATGGGTCGGATTTGTAGGGGCGGCTCACTCACCAGCCGCCCTCGGTGTTACTATTTATAGGGGTGGCTCAATAACTAGCCGCCCCTACAAATGCTCCAATAAATAAATACTCGGAACCCGCACGCGACGCCGACTACAGATCCTCCGTCTCTTTCTCCTCTTAGCCCTCCCTCCCTCATTGGCGAATCGACTCAAACCCTAACCCCTCTCCTTGCTAATCCCCACCCATGGATCACGACCGCTCCTCGCGCCGTACTCGCGACGATGACGGGCACCACCAATCCCGCAATCGGGACGACGACCGACACCACCGCCGCAGTCGCCACGACACCGACGCTCACCACCACCACGACAAGGATGGGGGCGGAGGCGGCGAGGATGACCGCCGCCACCATCACCATCACGACAAAGACGACAGCCGTTGCCACCGCTACCGTGACGGCGGGGACGACGACCGCCGCCACGGGAACCGACGGTCCGTTTCCCTGTCCGAGTCCCCGCCACCCTCGTCAAAGCGGGAC